ATTTAGAAGATAGGCTTTTTCAAATTTCTCCATCATGTTTTTAAATTCAGAGAGCCAGCATGATCCCATGTTGCTTTTCTTCCCCCTTCTACTTAGAGCTTTATTTTCATGACAGTGAGACAAAAATGTTTTGTCAAGTTGAAATCTGGCATTGATTTGATGGTTATAGAGTTTCAGATTTAACTCAAAATGTTGAAATGCAGCTGCTGCTTATTGTAAGCCCAGAGAAACTTCCTGGGTGGCAGGAAGTTGAGGGTAGAGGGAAGCTTTGTAATCACCAAGTAATTTGAAATATAAATAACTTTTGATGTGGTGACTGTAAATGCATCAGACCACAAGGACCAGATTTCCTCTTGAATACGTGTGAATTAATGAAGGAAGATAGGGGCTTTGGTGAAGGATGCTTTATATTACATTTATATTTTGTCTGTCTAGAAACAAACGAGAGATTTGAGTCTGAAATCATAACTGTATTCTCCCATTTCTATCTAAAATGTCTCTCTTGTGGGTCATTTCTTGCAAGACGGTTCATATGGGGAAAGTTAAAAGATACAGACTACTTGGCCAAATTCCATGGCTATTGTTTCATGTGTCTGGAAGATTGAAAATGCCTGTCATCCCAATTATGAGCTGTGGATTACCATTTGGGCAATTTGTCATTGCTTTCTTTTTCTTGAAAACATAATTTTTTTTTCCTTCTTAGGTATTCCCCATAAATGATGAGCCACCAATCCTAAAGGCTGACCTCATCCCCGTGATGCATTGCTCAGAGGGCGATGAGGTGGTCATCACCTCTGAATACATTTTTGCTACCGATGTGGACAGTGATGACTTGAAACTGATATTTATGATTGCTCGAGAACCTCAGCATGGGGTAGTGAGAAAAGCTGGAGTCATGGTGGACAAGTTCTCTCAGGGAGATGTTATCTCAGGGGCTGTGACGTACAAACACACAGGTAAGTGACAGCATTGTGACTCGTTTGCGTGAGGAGAGGCAAGCAACATGACAGAGTCTTAACCCCACTCCTTACTGTGGACTCCAATAATCTAACAGTCTTAATGCTTGCTCCCATTAAAAAAGAAGCAGCAGCAACAGCCGCTATCCCATTGTTCGAGTAGGATCACCATTCTTAGAAGTATTTCTGATTTCAGTAATATAATGAATTTCAAAGCGTGGAAGAAGAGCAGGTGTTATTGTTGCTCTTTTTGTGATGCTTCCACACACACCTTCAGTTCACTCTGGGGGTGTCTTCATCCTCAATTTGGTCAACTTGACAATAACTTTATTTGAACATTACAGCTTCTGGATCCGTAAATCGTAACACCATAACAGGAATATCTGAAGTAAGCGCCCTAAGATAATGATATCATTAATTTTAAAAGTTTATTGATCACCATCTAGCTCCTAAGAAATAACTGGCCTGCCTTTTAAGTTCC